TAAGACAGTAGTTACAGAAAGCTCTTTTAAGCTGCACCTCATGTCCTATTCAGTGGTGCTGAATAGGACATGAGCTAGCATGTCCTGAGCATTGGGTAAATTGGGCATATTCCCCAACATAACTATATAACAACAGCTTTTTCCCATCTCTCTTTGGATTGACTCATTGCCAGATACAACAACTGTGCACTACCAAAGAAGATCACAGAGCATGCAGGGAGGGGATGCTATTTGATAGACATCTGTATTTTGCTCCTGATGAACACAACTACTGCCACGCAAATAAAAACCTTTCCTCCGAACATAATCTGATTGCACTTCCATTAGAAACATTATAGCTCTTCCCTCCACGATTGGCAGTAGGAGTAGTAGTTGGTGGTGGAAGTGAGTGAGCTTCCCTTTTACTACAAATGTTGTAAAATACTGCTACGACCCAAGAGGTTGCAAAAGTCAATAAACTGAAAGTTTTACATGTGCTGTAGGAGCTTTGATAAAGATGCCGGGGGTCTACCATTGGAGTGTAATGCCTCTGTGAATTAATGTATAATCAATGCTTATAAAATAGGCTGTCCTCTTCGTGACCACTGAGAAAATGTATTACATACCTGCTAAATGTTTTTACTTTTTCACCTCTTACTGCCATTTTTTTTTTTTTTTTTACCCCTGCTCACGAGGGCCCAAAAGCATCTCGGGATTACAACCATATTTGTTCAGCTAATGTTTCCATTGGCATGTTTCCATCCCAAGATGTGTGTTGCGCATGCTGAGATACTTTGGAAAGCAGATCCAGGTCGAGTGCCAGTGCTTCATTTGACATAATGAATACCGGCGTTTGGTTGCACTTAGACCCTTTGGTATTTCTCCTGCAGAAGTGCTCCCTATCAGATACTTGATTTCCTATACAGAACACCTAAGAAGCAGTGAATATATGTATGAAAAGAATGCACAAAATACCCCCAAACACCTCCACATTCAAATGTGACAGAGAGAGAATGAAAGTGATTGAAACGCAGGAGAAAAAAAGGGCCTTGAGCTGCAGAATGTAAAATAGTGCAAGTTTTGACAATAGCAGAGGAGGAATATTATGAAGGCAGCCTCCCTTGCTTCCCTGGGAGAGTTTCATGGAGTGCTTTCTCACTGTGATAATGAAATGACCTGGCCTGCACTGCTCCTCTCTTTCTCTCTCGCAAAAACACATCTGCTAGACAAGGGTGAAAATGAGAAAATCCTACCTCCTCTCCCAAGTTTCGTAAAGCATACTTTCAATATTATTTTCGCAGGAAATGATGGGAGTGTGAGTGAGTGTGTCTGCGTGATTGTTGTCTGTTAGGCCGGCTGTGTGTGGTGCATAAATTAGTTGTGTGGAGTTTTTGGATGCAGGCACTTTGAGCGGTAGGTAATAAACTGTGTTTAAAGCATATTTGACATAACAAGGTACTGGACAGAAATTCAGTTGATAGGAATCCCATAGAGTTGTCAACCTAACAGTGTTTTCCTAACTTAATTTCTGTGGTTTGCACGCAGTGAGATCAATACAGTAAGCAGCACAACTCCGATCAAAGACTTCAATTTTGTCCCATTTCAAGGTAGAATCCAATATAGCAAACTCAAGTCCCAGACTGTTTTGAACCAATCTCGTTGGCCTCGCTAGACATTCAGGCAATACTAGACCGATTCAGAAGAGTGACTCACCATTTTGGTAGAGCACAGGCTGCATGCAGACCATGTATTCCCTCAGCTTCTAGTTAGCAGGGAATCTATGGCAGCAGTGAGGCAGAGCGTTGTCATTGAGTTACATAATCAACAGAGGAGTGTAGCAAAGAGTGTGTGGGTGGGTGTGTGCCCGTGCATTTGTGTAGCCGCAGTGCTTTTTGAGCTGTCGATCATGTGGTGCACCAAGGCCACTCTAACACAAGGCTGCTGAGGTGGACTTTCAGCAACAATGGAGCTTAGCCTGCGTGTGAGTATGGGTATGGGTGTGTGTGTGTGTGTGTGTGTGTGTGTGTGTGTGTTTGAAAAGGCGTGGATAGATAGGCGGCAGCATTTACAAGGCTGAGCAGAAAACACACGCTACATGCAAGGTATTAGGCGTGCATGCTGAGAGATGAGCCAATTTACAGCACATGTTGACTCACAAGGACACATTTACATATCTATTTTGTATGCCTGTGTGATTATTTGTGTCCTGTTGTATGTTTCTATGCATGCATGGATGGATGCTTAGGCCTATTTGTGCATGCTTGTGTATGAGCCAAACTTGTGTGTAAGTGTGAATGTCTAGTCCATGTAAGAAACACTTGTTCTTGTCTGCATGTGCAAATGTTTATGTATGTATGTATGCTGATTCTTGATGCCTTTCTGTGTAGATGTGGTTGATTTCTCACACTGACAATAGGCGTGTGTGTGTGTGTGTGTGTGTGTGTGTGTGTGTGTGTGTGTGTGTGTGTGTGTGTGTGTGTGTGTGTGTGTGTGTGTGTGTGTGTGTGTGTGTACTGTACATCTTCTGCTGCTCAATGATGCCATCTGGCTTTGGCTAGCACCAGCACAGACATCAGACGGGAGCTATCTGAGCTGCTCAGTGTTTGGGTTTTAATACTGTTTTGGGATCGGTTGTCCAGCGGGGTGGTGCTAACTCACCCCATTATATGCAGGATGATAAAGCTGACCTTGAAGCAGTTTATGGGCCCGGGATAATGGAAACCACTGATAGAGAGCCCATGAAACTCCAGTCAGCTCTCAGTGACAAAAGAAAGTAATGGTTTAACCACTTAACATAATTTTGAAATTGTAGCTTAAAATTGATCAAGGGACATTCTTGGTGTCACTACTCAACAAGGGGTGACATATTAGGAGATACTGATTAATCTGTGAGTTATTAATATGTTACTTTATGGGATTCTAGAGAGATTTTAAATGTTGAAACAAAGTGGAGAATTACATGTTTAATAAAAGTTGGACATCTTTGTGCAAAAAATGATGAGGGGCAGTATCAAAATGAATGGTGCTGGGGGGGTCAGAAAAGGGAGATTATTCTGAAAATATACGGCATCAAAGGAAGACAATAACGTGAATTATGGATTCAAGAGTGTGACAATGACTTGAAAAATGAGATTTAAGAGGAAATCACAGAGGAAATCTAAAGGAATTCATCTTGATGGAGAGCCATTTTTTCAGAAGAGTAAAATAGAAAGTAAAACTCCATATTGTAAAGTCCAAAAATGTCTTTGATTTTTTTTTACCTGAAACATAACCTTTACCATAACCTCAGGAGGTCAGCTTGGTCATATACTGCACTGGTTAAAACCGCTGCTTGCATATAAAAACCAGTGGAGGTGGAACACAATTAGGTCAGATTGAGGCCAGACCATTTGTATGGGTCACAGTAAAAAAGCCGATATGTATGCAGGCTTATAGGACCCTTGGGAGCACTGGGGTGACCTTGTCCTATACTCTGATCTATGTCCTCATCTCCCCCCTTGTCCTCTTTTCCTCTTCCCTCCGCCCACTGCCTTTTTTTTTATCACCGCGTTTCTTTCCTCTCGAACACCCTCCTCAATTAGTTTCCCTTCTTTCTCAGCCTGCTTGATTTTGAAATCTCTCCTTTCTCCCATCCAGCGTCCTCTTTAATTCACATCCTTCTTCCTCTCTTTCACTTTTTTTTTACTCGTTTTTAACTCGGCTTTTTCAATTGCCCAATTTCTCTATCCCCTCCCGTCCTTTTTCCATATCAACAGCCAGTCTGATAAATAATGCATCACAGCACATTAAAAACATTAGTAGGGTTCTCTTGGCTGGCAAAGAGAGGGAGGAGACGAGGGAGAGGAGGGAACGGGTAACTCCATTTCAAATAAGCGTTATGGAGAATGATGTGATTTAATATTACCAGCAGGAAAGCGCCAGCAGAGGCTGAAGGTCCGAGCATTAATTGCGTTTGCGTCGTGACATTGTGTCCTCGCGCTCAGAGGTTTCGCCTTTTGGTGAATCATCTGAAAGATTCATTAAGATGATGACTGTATCAGCAAACTCAAAAGAAAAGATTTAATGACATTTAGCAAAACACTGATGCTGCACGGAACCTTGACCTTTCCCTACTCCTCCCTCTTCCGTGCTCAGCTTTCTCCTCTCCCCCTCCTCTCTCTCTCTCTCCCCCCCCTCAATCCTGCTGGCAGCGTGGCGATTGGCATTATTAAAAATTGATTGGCGGCGAGCGTTTAGCAGGGTGGCGAGGCGGAGAGGGAAGGTTTGACAGGCAGGAGTGAAATGAAAGGAGGGCCTCTGTGGACACACTGTGGAAAGGTCTCACTGGGGGACAGACAGTGTGTGTGTGTGTGTGTGTGTGTGTGTGTGTGTGTGTGTGTGTGTGTGTGTGTGTGTGTGCACTAGTCTATGTGTGAGGCTAAGAGAGGATCTTGCTAAAACATTTTTGAAGTGAGTCTTAGGAGACTAAATGATACTATGTTTGATTTGATTTTATTCATCATCATTATTTAGTGGCTATATCTTCAAGCTGAAACCCATCGGAAAAATGATCAGCAATGTCTGAGCGTCCCACCCTGACGGTGACATCACAGAAAAATTGTGTATTATGTTCGGTTTGTTTCTTTGTGTATCCATGCAGCACATTGTATCTCGATAGCACACAAGCCCACAACAACACCCACATGACGGATACACAGTCACAGTAGCTCTGCTGACCTACCCTCATCCCTCTTTCTATCGTTCCCTTCATCCCTCTGCTGATCCCCCTTTCCAACCTCCTTTCATCTCAGATCAAATAATATTTCCAACCAGCTATTCCCCCAATGGCTATAAGTGCTTCAGCTTTGGAGGTTTTCATTATACTTTACCTGCAATTTGGCTGAGTGATTAAAAAAAAAAAGTTTTTATTCTGGGGGTGGTTGGGGTAAAGCATGTGTTGCTACATGATGATGCTTACTGGCTTCTTTCTCTCTCTCTTTTTTCCCCTTCCTTTCTTGTTTGCTTCTCTCTCTTTGTCACAGATGAACAGACCGATCCAGGTGAAGCCAGCAGACAGCGAGAGTCGAGGAGGTACTGTGCGCTCTTCCTTCCTTCACTTTTCCCTCCCACTTACTCCCTTGCTAGCTTCTTTCCTTCCAGCCCCTACGAACATACTGCCTGTGCATATCAGCCTCACCATTATCTGTCCCATTAAACGATGCTCTGTACCTTGACGCGGGCTGACAGCGCGGCCTGGCCGGACCCTCAAGTAATCAGAACACATTATGTAAACAGTGCTCTTTCACTGGCCACTGGCCTCTTTCTTGGAGTTTCATCATATGCACGCACATACACAGAAAGCATGCGTGCCTTGTCATGCTGCAGGGGAAAGCAGGTCACTTCTTTTTGTCACCTTCAATTTAGCTGCGTGCAACAAAGCAGATCCTGTTTGACTCCTGTCACCAGTTCAAATCAGCCAAATTAGCTGCAGATTTAAACAGCGGGTGTGTGAGACTTTAAGTGGACCTATAATCTGGTATTTTGTGCACATCCTGCTCTATTGACTTCTAAGACAGCTTAAAGCACATTTTTTATGTCTAGACATGTAGTGACCTGCTCCTGACATCAATCAATGCACTGTACTAGAGAAGATTGATGCAGTTGGACCAGTTTTGGCTGGACTCTTTCAAACTTTGCAGTTGCTAATATAATTGGCACCAGAGTGATTCTTCTGCCACAAGAAAGTAGAGAACGAGAAAAAAAGAGGAAATAGAGCAGGCGAGAAGTTGAAGGTTGATAAGCAGAGTGAAGCTTCTGGACTGGGAGAGAGGTGGGAGCCTGTAAAAGAAGAAAAAGAAACCTTTAAGGAGAGAAAGAGAGATGGCGCGACATCCTCCTCTGTTTAGTTTGGTGGCGCTGTGAGGATGATTGATGGAGCAGGAGGGAGCGGAGGCGAGCTCCAGGCGTGAGGAAGCAAAGTGAGGGCAATGCAGGCCGTCTATACCTCTGTCTGTTACCTGACTCTATCTTTCTTTGTGCGTCTGTCCTCGGCCCACTTCTTTTCTCAGTACACCTTATTTTTCCAAGATTATTTCTGTCTGCTGCTTTTTTTCTTCTCTATAGCCTAAATGTTTTTCTCAGAACTTAAAGCAAACTTATATTTCACTGGCAGGATGTATGAACTTAAGTTATTCATTTAAAAACCCTCTTTAGTAAACACGTAATGTCAGACAAATGTTATTATAGTAATAAAAGTAAAGGTGCGCTTCATGAGACAAATGGTGAATTATATTCTGAAATCGTATATTTTATATACAACCCCTTTTTGAAAAATCTCATTTTTATTATACTAACCTGCTTTCCTAAATTGTTTTGTAGTTGCAAGCCTAAACTTGCATATCTGGCAGTAGCATTTTATTGGTAGCTGTTAAAGTGGTCACTATTCTTAAAATAATTTGAGATGGGAGAGGTTAGTCCAATGATAACCAAATCAAACATCAAGCCTCAATCCCTGGGTAACATGTGTTGGGTGGTGAGATGACAAATGGAGTAGGAGAAGAAATCATTTCACTTTTCTCTCTCTTTTTTTTGGGGGGGGGAGCAATTATCCAAAGTATTTGGGCCCTCCAAAGGAAAATCATTTGTAATGTGGAACGTCCATACACTCTGAAACAGGATTAGCCCCATAAAGACACACTCATAAGCAAGAAGTTAAAAAGCAAAAAGGTCAGGAGTCATTTGGTTAATATTTGTCAATGCATTCTGTTTTAGAAGCCTATTTAGTCTCATCCCTGTATCATTGACAATGTTAAGTAGAAGGAATGACCAACAGTGGACAGTGGAATTAGAGAGCCACACTTTTTTGGTTTTGTTAATACTCCAGGATAAGAGGATTCAGAGAGACAGTATATGATTATATGATGTGTGTGTGTGTGTGTGTGTGTGTGTGTGTGTGTGTGTGTGTGTGTGTGTGTGTGTGTGTGTGTGTGTGTGTGTGTGTGTGTGTGTGTGTGTGTGTGTGTTTTTATGTGCTAGAGAGAGAGCTTTACACTTACACTGTTGACACTCTGGTGTATATTGATTTGCTCTCTTGCTGAATATGAGTGCGTGTGTGTGTGTGAGTGTGTGTTAACAGGCCTTTTCCCAAGTAAGATGTAATGTTTAATGGTCGCTTCTCTGCGGAATTGTAAGCTTTGTCCACCAATCAGGTGTTTACTGTGAATGTATATGTGTCTGTGTGTGTGTGTGTGAGAGAGAGCAGATAAGGGGGGTGGTGGGGGGGGCAAACATTTTAAGAGTTGTGTGCGTGTGCATATGTGTGTGTGTGTATTCCACCCCTGGTGTGCACTCCTCTCTTGTAAACCCCCAACCCGGTGCAAGGCCGGAGCGCAGATTAGTCTTGTTGACTCGGCAAGGACACCCTGTCAGGCTCAGGCAGAGGGGAACGGACCCTAAGCACGCATGGAGACACACATACATATACACACATATCATCATTTGCAGAGCGCATTCAGAGGCGATTTTCACTGAGGCTCATTAATTTCTCAACACACACATCCATTCCCAAAAAAGCTCAGATTCTGGTTAACGTGAGAACAGCCGGACTTTCACACTTACACATCTGCTACTGTGGTGCACTAACACACTTTCACCGTCTGCCTCGCACTCTCCCTCAACAATCACTCACTGACTCAATCACGCACTCATGGTGAATAATGCACCGATGCTAGACCCCAGCCTGAATTTATTTCATAAAAAACACGTTCTTGTCTAAATTGTATCTGATTATATGAAACTGCATTTTAACTTGTTGGCAGACACCTGACACTTGAGTGTCATTTTTTTCAAGTGATGTTTCTAGATCCCTTTTTTTAAGGAAAAGATTGAAGAAAAAAGCAGTTTCTATTGGAAAAAGACTGGTTTGTCTTCTTCTGGTAACTCCTCGGGTGTTTAAGGTTTACATCCAGCGAGAGGCCGATTCCTTGATGCTGTAGTAGTGAACTCCATTTGCTTTCTTTGTGTAAGAAAACGTTAAAAGGGCGTAGCTGGCAGCTTCCAGTAGTTTAGAGAGGACAAAGGATGAAAAACCTTATATTGTGTTAAGCAGTTAACTTTCTGGTGTGACCAGCTTCCATGAATAGTTTCTACATAAAGTCTCCAACAATGAAGACTTGTCTGTAACAGAAGAGCACAACTTCCCACTGCCTGTTTTTGGCGTGAGTTCAGATGGAGCAAAGTGCTGCAGATATAAGTTGGGAACAACATTGATTCACTGCACTCTCATCAAAAGTGGAAAATAACATTAGCCTCTTATCTAAACATTTGAGCTACTCTACAACTGTTAGCCAAACTGGTTGGAAGCTAATCGCAAGTGACAGATTGGCCCATCTATGACAGTGTTTTCAGTCTCAAAAAGATCAGGCACACAATAACAGCAGACAAAAGGTAGAGCCAGCAGCACTAAATATGAGTGAGTGCTGTGTTGTTGCTTTCAGATATATTTTGAAATGCTGAACCACCAGCATCTGTGAGCAGAGCTCACGCAGAGGGCACCGTGCCAACTGTGCTCCCACAGGACACAGACTGCTCAGAAACAGGTTTTCCTGCCTCGGTCATGAGTTCAACTTTCACTGCAAATCAGAAATGGAACACGGTCGGAGCATATCATCAATAAATAGACAACCCGAAATTCAAAAAGCCTCTGTGACTCAGTGTAACATTCATATATATACACGTATACAGGGAAATCTTCAACTGTACCGCAACTCCAACATAAAAACCTTACAGTGGCACTAAAACATTGTTCAGAGAGCAACATCGAACGGAGTATTAGAGAGAACTGCTTACTCATCACATTAATCATTTTTGTAGTATACAAAAGTCATGATGTTGCTTCATGAAATATTCAGCATCTGTCATGATTTATATTCGAGTTTTCTTTGTTATTCTGATTTTAATGCTGATTCCATGTGGAGCTGATCACCTGACTGTGAGCCTTTTTGTTGTGAATTATCGAACTTAACAAGAATTCATGCTTCATCAAAACGTTTCACGCTAACAGCTTAATGAAACACAGGTGAGATCTAAAGCTGCTTGTAATACTAATAACTTATTGGACAATGAGTACTGTCAGTAAACAAACACAGCCGGTGGAATTGCAAAATACTTTTCTTCACGCAACAAAGAATGTAGAAGAATGTGAGTAAGTGAAGCATGGTTTTATGTACATTATGAAAAGGTTTCTCTGATCCTCTGATCGTGACCTATTCCTTTTCTTTTTAGAAGACAGAAAGCTCTTTGTCGGCATGCTCAACAAGCAGCAGTCAGAAGATGACGTGCGGCGCCTTTTCGAGTCCTTCGGCAGCATCGAGGAATGCACCATCCTCAGAGGTCCTGACGGAAACAGCAAAGGTGAGTATATAGCTGTTTATGACTTTGAGCTGACATCCTTTTTTTTCACAGGCTGCTGCACAGAAATGATTTGGCCTTTCAAAGTTGGTGACTTTGCAAAGTTTCCCTTAAACAATTCCATGCTGAGTGATGTCAAAGCAGCGCTTACGCAAGGATACTATAGATTCTGTCAAATTGAACAGTAAAAGCAACGGGAAAGCCAAGGGACCGGAGATATAAACCACCAAGTCTTTACAGATGAACTCCATTAACCTTTTGAGTCAACTTACACGACTCTGATAAGGGTAAAAAAAAAAACAAGTGGACCTCCTTATTAACCACCATGTCATGCCAGAAAAATCTCCTTTGGAAATGTTGTCAGAGTGCGACACAAGTTCACTGCATGAAGTTCATCAGCAGGCTTAGCAGCCAATCAATGAGGCCCGATGATAAGTAAGCCAGATGATTACAGTGGGCTTGATCATTCTGATTCCTCAGTGAAGCTCCATTAACAGGGACTCATCAGCCAGCTTACTCGGCTAAGTGGGCTTTAGCTCAATAATTACTGGGAACTTGATCATTCAAATTCATCAACGGAGCTTGTCAATAGTAAGCGACACCAGAACGCTGTGGCATTTTAAGCCCCATCGGAGGATCCCAAAGTTGTTAATGGTGTCAGAGTGGCGTGTTTGGCCCCGATTATTGAGCGTCGATCTACACCGATGCAACCATCCCCAGTAAAGAGGGCTTTGTTTGCTAAATGTTTGTTGCTCTATCGCTGTACGGAATTTATCTCAAGTGATTAAACAAGAAGGTTATTTTACTTGTACTGGTTACTGGCTGTGTTTTGCTGTGGTACTGTATCATACACTTCTCAGCAAAACTTTTCTTATACTGTCTGTTTTACCTTTCACATTTTCTAACACCACCTCTCCTCTCTCTCTTTCTTTTTCCTCTCTAGGCTGTGCATTTGTAAAATACTCATCTCATGCTGAAGCTCAGGCAGCCATCAGTGCACTACACGGCAGCCAGACAATGCCTGTGAGTACACCATAACTGTGTGCGTAGATTTATGTGCGAGAGGTGAGTCACATACAGAGATGACTCACAGAGTGCTTAATTACCTTCTTTAAAGTTGAGTTAAGTTATACTTTATTAATCCCAGTAAGGAAATTCATCCTTTGCATATGACCCATCATAACTATTCCGAGGCAACGGCTGCCAACTCCAGCTTTGCTTTGGCAGGAGCGAGTGTGCGCATGAGTGTGCGAGTGCAGATTTTAAGCTTATGTCATGTGTCTAAAGATACACACTAACATGTACGGCCTGGCATTTGTGTGTTGTGTGGGTGGGTGGATGGGTGGGTGCACAGGGTGCCTCATCCAGTCTGGTGGTCAAGTTCGCCGACACGGATAAGGAGCGCACCATCCGCCGCATGCAGCAGATGGCCGGTCAGATGGGCATCTTCAACCCCATGGCCTTGCAGTTTGGAGCCTACGGAGCCTACGCTCAGGCAAGACGCCCCGCAAAACGCCTTCTTTATCCACATTTATTTATTCAATGAACCACAAAGAATAAATTGAGTGTTTTGGCCTAGCTCACATGCGATTATAAAATAAATAAATAAAATAATAATAATAATAAGAGGAAGACTGTACTTGTTAAATTTCTCTTTCGAAAAATAAATGGCCAGTACTCGATTTTAAACCTTAAGCCTGTTTTTCTTGGTTCTATACTGTGCCTGACTTTTTTTTTTTGTCTTACCCCCACTCTTTTCTACCGTTTCTAAAATCTTGCTCGATCACTGTGTAGGTTCAGCAGCAGGCGGCGCTTATGGCGTCTGTAGGACAGGGAGGCTACCTCAGTCCAATGGCGGCCTTTGCCGCAGCCCAGATGCAGCACATGGCCACCATCAATGGTATCCCAGGGGCACCGATGACACCAACGTCAGGTAAGAGTAAGAAAGAAGAAAGGTTTAAGGGGCCATACTTGTGTTTATCAAAAAAAAAAGGTTTTAAACTGCGCACATGAATTACATTTTAGAAAGCTCTTTATGACGCAAGGACCTTTACTCTAACCAACATATTGCCACACCACACTGTCGGACTGACATTACTCCTCCTGACATTTCAACATTATCCAGGTAAAGTAATAGTGAGCAGCATTTGATAAAGTCAGCAAAGAGCCTTCAGTATATCCACAGTTTTTCCATCCATGTTATCAAATCCAAACAGCACCCTCACATTTCTAACATTGTTTTGCTGTCATCATTCATCCAGGAAGACTAGTTCCTCCATTTTGTGTTAAAAAAGAAAAAAAAGAACAACAATAGTCTGTCTTACTGATAGGGAAATATGGAATGCAATGGATCAGAATGACGGATGCCCTCCAGTTGGGTACAAAGCCGGGCCTGTTGTGCTCACATACTGACAATTTTGAATTTGAGAAGATCATTACAAATCAAATATTTGACTTTCACCCACATTGCAACAGCAGTTGGAATTTCAAATAAAGAGTGACAGTCCCATTAAGTAAAAGGCAGCAAGCTGTTTAACTGCAGGCCAATATTGTGTCATGTAAAATTTGCAAATGTCAGCATAATGTGTTGTGTATGTCCCTCTAGCAATGGATACTTCATTCTTCCTCAGTACATTTCTGTCTTCTTAATCTTAGTGATAAAAATAAAAAAATGTAGATGATTGCTAAAAAATAGATGTTGTGCCTTGAAGAAAATAAAGTGTATTCTTTTAAAGCTTTACTGTAGGGTAGTCGAGAAGATTACAGTATTAAGGAACAATATATCACTTTGATATTTTTGACAAGGAATCTATAGTGTAAATGTTTCTTGATGAATTTATAGCACGCAATCATCTAAGACAAAAACATAATTGGTGCCCATAAGATATCATCTATACCGTGGACACACTTCCTCTACAATATGTCTAACATCCAGCTCTAATGGTTGTTGTGTCACTGTAAGGGCCTATACTGCGACAAGAAATCAGCCCTGACATTTAGTGTCTTCACCGGCCCACTAGACCGGCCCCTCTGACATTTCCCAGAGTTACTAGGTGTCCAGTCAAAGAAAAACTTTCTCCATTATGTCTCCGAGAAAACTGCAGCAGAATGATCACCGTTTCTCTCTGTCTTTTTCCCCGTCTGCCCCGTGGCTGCAGGTGGCAGTACTCCTCCAGGCATCAGCGCCCCCACAGTGACCAGCATCCCCTCCCCCATTAGTGTGAACGGTTTTACTGGCATGCCACCCCCGCAGGCAAATGGGCAGCCGCCTGCAGAGGCTGTCTTCACCAACGGGATACATCATTACCCTGGTAAGTCTGATCAAATTCAAAAGGATTTTATGCAAACATGCAGTATATTTTCCCGGAGAAAAATATGCCAAATAATGTAGTCCACATTATAAATTTTTTTTTGTATTAATGAAAATGAAGCTTTAAATCCTATGCTACACTCTGCAGTAAAGCAGCGATTGCAATGGGAGAGTGTGCATGCGGCTGGCTTATAGGCGTGAATACCCTTGAAGCATGTTCAGGTGGCCGAGGCCAGACAGACGTGGCCAACAGACAGTCAGCATGTCGAGGAGATGAGTGTTTGGCAAAGGTGCTTATGGGCTGCTGGAGCCTCAGTATGCGCTTGTGTCATGAGCCGTGGCTAGTACCTCATTGGTTCGGTGTGAAGAGGTGGAAGACAAATCTGTATTATTATTTTTTTTTTACTCTTGTCTCTCCAGTGTTGCAGGAGGTGGTTTTTAGAGAGGACTCGGAGAAAAACGGCTTGGGCGTGGCTCCGCGGAGTTGTTTTGGGGTTCAGGGTGGCTGCTTCCTGTCCTCTCTCTCTGAAGGTAGCACTCCCCCCCCCCCCTCACTGCCTCTCCCCTTTTCCCCTTCCCACTCCCCTATGGGCACAAATAAGGGTCAATTACATTATCAGCTGGTGAAACAACTTTTAATAACTCAATATTTTCAAAGCATGTGGTTTTGATGACCCCTTTTTTTTTTTAACATGTGAAAATCATCTGACAAATTCGAGTGTGTGACTGTTTAGTAAATACTTTTAGTGGTAAAAGAAAAAAAGGGCATTACATTTTGCACAAACACGCAAAGATGTTGACCTTGATTTATCAGGCAGAAGCTCGACTAACATATATTAAAAATGTAAATATGTTAAAGGAGTAGTTTCAGGAGTTTTGAGTTTTTATTTTAGCACAATTTACCTTCTCAAAACTGAAGACCTTGTGTCTTCAAATACTCTGCGTTGATGACATTTCATTCAGACATTGACGACCTTTTCACTACGAGATCAGATTTATTCTATTCATTCACAAACACTTGATAGTGATACTTTTCAAAGGGTCATATAAAACCACAGGCTTTCAAATAATTGACCTGTATTTGGACCCGTACTTCTCTTTTATCTTGTGGCGTTCTGAGCTGTTGTTCAGTGTTGCTGTTAGTCGTCAGTGTTCAGTGTTTCGTTAGTTTTTCTTGACAGTGGGGTGTGTTTGTGTGCATGTAAGCCTGTGTGTTTTTTTAATGGTGTACTTAATGTGCATGTGTACAGATGGATAGTTAGTAAGTGTGGCAGAGCATCTGTGGTAAAAAAAAAAAAAAAATAGTCTATTTAGAATGTGGATTTTCTTTTAATAATTACCAGTATGTCCTACATGTGAAGTGATAGCAACAGGTTTGAACAAAATCGTGTGTGTTGCAATTGTCTTGTTTTAAATGTTTACAGTAGAGTGTCAGAACGATTCAAATGTTTCTTTGATTCTTTCACATGAGATTTGTTCGTTAGAGATACAGGTTAATGACACAATCATTATTTTTTCTGTGGTGACTTTTTGTTTTTTGGCTGTGGTCCTTCAAACTTTTATATTGGGTGGAAGAAGAGAGCCACTTTTTGAAAAGAGCTTTAGGAGAAACATAAAGTAAAGAGCCGGGCAAAAGAGAAAGAGATTCAGAATTCAGTTCCTCACACACTGAAAGTGAAGCGAGTTGACACCTTGCTGCTGGGCTCTCTAACCTTTCTGCTTTTCTCCACCTGTCTGTTCTTCTCTCCATCCCTCCTTCCTCTCACCTTTGTTATATTTTACCTTCGCCTCCCTCCGTGCCCTATCCTCCATCTACATTCCCCCTCTGTCTCACTCTCTCTCTCTCTGCCTTGTCTCTCTTCTCACACACACACACACACACACACACTGCTCCATCCATCCATGCTCCCCTCCACCACCTCCTTCGTCTTCTCTGTGTCTCTGGTGGAACAGCTCAAAGTCCCACTGCAGCTGATCCTCTCCAGCAGGCTTACACAGGAGTCCAGCAGTATGCAGGTCTGTCTGTCACTCTCACAGAACCACTGATCTGTGCGTGTTTGCGTGTGTGTGATAGTGAGTGTGTGTGTGTGTGTGTGTGTGTGTGTGTGTGTGTGTGTGTGTGTGTGTGTGTGTGTGTGTGTGTCAGTGAAAGATTAAGAGAGAGAGAGAGAGAGAAAGAGAAGAGATTCCTTTGTTAGAATTTTGTTCATGTAATATTAAGTGTTGCAGTCAGACTACATCAATTTATTCCTAGTCTTTGTTGTCTTCAGTGTGTGTGTGCGTGTGTGTATTGTGGGACACGTACACTCTATTGTCTGTTATCTGATCGATTGCCTGCTGTGCCCCTGCATATATCACATTGTTTGTATGTATTCGAGCGTGTGTGTGTGTGTGTGTGTGTGTGTGTGTGTGTGTGTGTGTGTGTGTGTGTGTGTGTGTGTGTGTGTGTGTGTGAGTGTGTGTGCTTGTGTGTCTCTCTCTAGTCATGACTGTTATCTGATCCGTGCTCTGCGTGAATGTGTGTGTGTCTCAGCAGCCTACCCCGCTGCATACGGCCAGATCAGCCAAGCCTTCCCCCACCCTCCACCTATCATTCCACAGCAGCAACGAGAAGGTAATACACACACACACACACACACACACACACACACACACACACACACACACACACACACACGCGCACACACACGCACACACACACACACTTGGCACACCATTCAATCTTAAATATTCATACATGCTGAAAACATTTAGTCATCCTCTGTTCAACTTTAATCCTCCTGCCAACATAGCCCTGGAATGAACACCCACGTTTAAAAATATCCAGGCAATTCACAGAGCTCACTTTGTTTTCAGGCATTATTTCACCTTCTGCCAGTCTGTTTAAAGCAGAATATACGGAATACACACACTAACACAGAGCAGAACACTCAGCATCAGTCTGGATTGATTTGAGAAGGCTGACTACAACTTCTCATATCCTTTTGAAACGATCAAAGTAATATCAATCATTGAACGATTAGTTTTTAGGTCGTGATGCAGTGGCTGTCCCTGCTGGATGTAAGATAACTAACTTTAATACCAAACCAAGTGTTTCAATCCGAGCTGTAAACCTGCTCACGAACTCATTGACCTGAAGGCTTGGGACAGCCATACCTGGGACAGTACTGCCCTCTTGTGGAAAATAAACAAAACAATGTTCATCTTCAAACAGCTGTGGCATCCCAGAGGCTATACTGTTCATGCAGTTAATAGTCCTTTGATTTGGGAAACCAGACAACTGTGAATGATGAAACAGTGGACTTTACCATGCAGCTGAAGCCATCAAACCCTCTGTTAACTAAATGGCTGCATGCTGATATGAGCTGAGTTTAAATAACATTTCAATCTAGATAATCACCACATAGAAATACACATCAATCAGTATTTGAAGCTGCTAAAAATGTAGTTCTTCAACATTATAAAGGCAAAATAACATCTCTAGCTTTTAATTGTTTGGTCCTAAACAGTGGCTATGTTTGCCTCCAGCTAATTTATTTTCCTTTAATTGAATTATGTGTTTTGTTATGGCAGTTCATTTTCTTTGACTCAACTCATGGATTGGCTGAGTTTTTCAGCTTTAGATTGGTGCAACTGGTGAAAATGTAAAATTCACACTGATGCATGGTGCAGTAAAGTCCAACCAAGTTCTTGAAATTAGCAACAAAACCTAAATTAACAGATAACTCATGAAAACAGTTATTACCAGTATTGCTTTTGCTTTACCAAAATTGCAGGACAAAAGTTGTTTTTAGGCATTAAAGTAGGGTACATTCTTACCAAGCTCAGTCTATAACATCCTGTATTAAAGTTCAGTTTGTTTTATGCATTTTTACCACTTTCAACACGCAGCCCCCTCCTGCCACAGCAAACCTTTTAAGCTTCTATCTCTCTGTCCAACCTTTGCCCCTTATCTTTTTTTATTCTCTTCTCGTTCGTCCGTCTCTCTATCTCTCTCTCTCTCTGTGTCTGTGTGCAGGACCAGAGGGTTGCAACCTGTTCATCTACCACCTCCCTCAGGAGTTTGGGGATGGAGAGCTGATGCAGATGTTCCTGCCTTTCGGTAATGTCATCTCCTCCAAAGTGTTTGTGGATCGGGCGACAAACCAAAGTAAATGCTTTGGTGGGTAAAAATGACCAAACCAAAAGATTATTGGTTATTTATTATTATGATTATTCTTTTTTACTAATCACCTTCTTTGCCGCAGTCAACACCCCCCCCCCCCCAACCTCTCAACACCCCTCCCCTTAAAAAAGGGAGAAAAAAAATACAAGCCATGTTTTAGAAACATAGAAAGAATAGAAGTGAATGTCTCCTGTATAATGTAGTCAATCTGTTGTATGACTTATTTCCTTATTTCCAGTGATGTATATTACTGTTTTGAAGCTTCTATCAGAAGTTAGAGACGAGTTCTATTACAATGCCATATTTGTATATTCCTATTGTCCCATTGACATGCAACACGATTGCTTTCTCTCCGTCTCTAACTCACTGTAAGCAAAGGCATCGCATGCTCAGAATATAACAGCTGCTCCAGCATGCAGAGACAGAGGAGTGCTGTCTCGCTCTGCCACTGACGGCACAATTTAGCCGAACGTATAATTATGTTGCAAATTATAAATGGGTTGTGGAGAATATTTAATAGAGAGTCCGTCAGGTGCAACCTATTTGCAAAGTAGCATTTGCTCATTAATACAACACAATACTAAGGTTGTATTTCTCATGTTGGAGATGCAGCCTCTCCAATTTGATGCTTTCTCTGTTTAAAGTGGAAGTTTTAAAGTAGTACAGACAAAAACAGCTCAGCCATGTAATTATACATCCCATCAAACAGGTTCATGTCGTGATTTTGGTTGCATGCTTTACTGTCATAAATGAGATCTTTTGTGTTGTCATTCAATAGAGAGCTGTATTATTATAGACTTAACACTAGTAGTGCAATTTTTGTGGGTGTTGATTGTTTTGAGTTTTGTGTCCATATAAAACCATTTCATTCTTATTGCAAGGTTTTTATATGCATTCATAAATACTGCTTCATCTTCTATAAACTCACCGTCATTCTCCATTCTTCTGTAAATCCCCCGTAACGCCCTTGCCTCTCTGTCTAACCACATCCCCTATCTCTTTCTCTCTCTCTTTTGGCCTTTCCCCCAGGGTTTGTGAGCTTCGACAACCCAGGTAGCGCCCAAGCCGCTATCCAATCAATGAACGGCTTCCAGATCGGCATGAAAAGACTCAAGGTGCAGCTGAAGAGGCCAAAGGACGCCAACCGCCCCTACTAGCCCCCACCCCTGCCAGCCGCCGCCAATCTGGTCGGCCGGGGGCAGCCGTCTAACACCAGGGAAAGACAGGTCAGACCCTCCAATCTCAACTCGCCTGGAAACATTTTTTTTTGTCACTTTAGTTTGATATGTGATTAACTGAGCCAATGCTTGCACAACCGCTGAATATTATATCGACAAACGCTCAAATGGCAAGCCCATTTATGGCAATGCCTGATGTCGTTTCAGTAACCTTTTATAAATGTCATAAAACATTTGCAGATGCCTAATAACAGGCTGATCGTCTGCAAATTGCTTGTAAAGAATAGTGATGAAGTTTTACCCTCTTTGTTGATAGTTCAAGTACGCATTTGTAAATGCTAATTCCAGCACACATTATGACTCTCATTCAGTAATCTCTTGAGTTTGATGACTGACATTGTTTGAAGAATAAAAAATGTGTGATTTATTATGTTATTATTATCACCATGTCATGAAATGAAATGCCCTCTACCATGGAATAGAATATAAATATTACATTCAGCCATAATGGCTGCGTGAAACAAACAAAGCAGTAGGAGCATTTACTTACATGTCGCCTGCTCTATTTGTAGAACAGCTTTACAGTAAGTGACCCTGTATGTTACCCTGTAGGTAAAAGATAATTGGTAAATGCTTCAGTGTGTTGCACAGGGAAGGAATTGCTTCCAAGGGAAAGGCATTTATTACCCCTCAGGCGGGTAATTGTGCTGTTCCTCTTTGTCTCCCCCCTTCATCTGTGTGATAGAGAGTTTAGGCTGCGTCGTTCATTCACCACTGATGACTTCATTCAAGGGCAACTTATCACCCACTCCCAAACTAACAGAACGGCACGAGCCACTGTTCCGCAGAAGCATAGTGAATGTGTCACAAAATGTGAAATTTGATTCTATTTTCCATTTGCCTGCAATTTGCATTTATGACAGTGTGTAACATTTCAACTGATAAATAATATAGTGGGGTTTTTTGCACATGCACTCCCTGTTACACTATTATTATATTCAAATACTCTCAATGGGGTGAAGGTGTGTATTGATTAAAACCTCTTCATCATTTCAAAAACAAGATTAAGCCATTTGATTGAAATAAAAAACAAAGCCTAATTGTTTATCAAATTGGAGATTACAACAGCGGCACTGCTCGGAAGATCAATTAACTCACTGCAGGATGAGCTCTGGTTTGTTACCAGAGATGGCTCTTTTGTCTGTATCAGAACTTAGTGTCTTTGTTCTGGCAAAGACTCTTTCAAGAGGAAAGTTTTGTGTTTTTTTTCAGTGAGTTATTCAGCAAATATCAACAGTACAGGAGAGAATGAAGTAAAGGCAATTTCAGCTCCTCCATTTACTTTCATTTATTTACTAATTGTTATTTTGTCTCTCACATAATGAATCTTTGTTTAAGCCCAGAGGCCTGCCTTTCTTTCCTTGATTGGTCTATTATAGATCCAAGAAAACAAAGACAAAAAAATCTATTTTAAAGAACCAGATAAACTTTTGTATTCCTATGGAAACTTTAAATGCAAAACTAATCATATCTAGAGTCATTTTTATTGAAAATCTACAGTCTATAAATTATCAACATAGGAAGTCACAGCCATGCTAGTAGTTTTATTAAATTGTCCTAAGGCAGTGTTTCTATGAGTAAAATGCTAATATGGTCTCAATGACATTAATAGTATGATGTTTAGCAGGGTACCATTTTTTTTTTCAAATATTAGGTCAGAAACCAGAGTCATGCACAAAAATGTCACGACGATAGTGTTTGATAAGTTGTCATCAAATGAATTTATAGGGAACACAGGTCTGCACCAAATGTAATGGAAACCCCTGTAGCATTCAAAATAATTCACATACAACTACACAAGTAAAAACCTGATGGTGGCACGAGAGGGAAAGTCTTGGGATCTCTAAAGTCATCAAGATACATCATGTTGCTTATTAATGCTACAAAATGTGCTCCCAATCCAGCCTGTGGATGTTGAGATGTCACTGAATAAATGAAAACTCTTGACTGCTTAAGATGGTAGAACAATCCTGGAAAACCAGTCACACATGAGGCCTCTTCAAACTGCAATTCCACTGAGGCGTAACAAAGCTCCGCCTTCATTACGCCTTAAGACATTCTTATTGATTCCGCAATGGCATAATATTGGTGTCCGAGTCTATAAATCCACATTGCCTTACCGCGTTGCGGAAGCGGGAGAAAGGACGGTACAACAGGAGCTCCACATAGATACACAGTCACAGATGCAAAAGGCCCTGCTCTCCCCCTCTGTCTCAGCTGACCCCGTCTCGCCCCTGTAACTCTGTTACTACCTCCAAAGATGGTACAGAGGGGGGATCGCTTTGTTGACCCATTATGACCCTGGGACATTCTGATTGAGGGCAAAATGTCTCATTCTCTGGATACCTTAAAAACGTGCACTGCATGTAATTTCAATCCATCCATAGGTTGTAAGAAAATGTCCCGACAATCCAAAAACACCTCAATCTGTGAGAGGTTTGGGGAAAAGACAGGTCATGCCAAAGGTCTGTAGGGTGTTTCCTCTGGGGACCACAAATGTCAAGCTAAAAGGGCAATCCATCCGACAAACTAACAGTTCCACAGAGAACCACACATGACGCTATCAGGTCTAAAAATGTTGAGTCCCCTCAGTATCATATACTTAACACCATTCTGACATGCATGAAACACCTTACTTTCTTTTTACTTAGCTTGTACATGTTCCTGCCTCAAACACTTTCTTCTTCTTCTGTGCTTTTCAGGTTTTGTTGAGCTGAATCATATGTTGACTTCTTGCTACCCACCACTGAGTGCAAACTCAACATCTGGACCACTGAGGCTGCTTCACAAACAGAGGAGAGAGAGAGAGAGAGAGAATGATGGACGAGTCAAGGACACCTCCTTTTGGATGTACTAAAACTTTGGAACTCAGAGAGAATTTGTACCAGCCTGGTTAACCCCAGGACCTTTTTTCTTCTGCACACATATACACTCTTTCCTGTTTCCCCACAAAATCCTGCTTGAATGACAGCTACCTTTTCTGGACCACAAAAACTTTTACTTGAACATTAAGAGAAAAAAAAAAAGTAAAAGAAAGTATGTCAAACCTAACTACAATGACCAACCCCACTGAACTCCTAAAGGGAATATGGATGTCAAAAATCTGACAAGAACAATACTTTTTAAAAACTGACTAGAGGATTGCCGTAGGAGATCTTTCTGTAAGATGGTTTGAGTTTGGACAGTTGAAGTTTGAAGACCAATTTATACGACTTGAAACAAGAAAGGACAAGACATTCTCGGAGAGAGAACTTAAGTAGGGAATGTGATATTTTCAGGACACAAATTGGCTTCAATTTGGGACGGCCATCTTTAGCTCGGAGTGCCTGTCCGTTTCCAGGGGATACCGTTGCCAAGGAGAGCCATAGCAACGGTCTCCAGGGAGTCTTACCTGTCATTCCTTAGTTGTTTTAGGGACCAAAAGACCAAACGTTTTTATTGCTGAGGACTTGTAGCTCTAATATACTCGGACCACTGCATCTCTTTCAGTCAGAGGTAACTGGTTGAGGAGTTGCACTTAAAAGAAGTGTACATTTCGAATATATACAACACATGTACATGTACATATATATTGCTGATATGCTTTTTGAATACAGGCAAAACTATTTCAGATGACCATATGGGGTCTCTCACTTCGCTAGTTTACAATTACTCAAAAATGTTTATTTTTTTCTCTTCTCATTTTGTCTTGGGAGGGATGGCGAGTGCATGGGAGGGGCTGCTCCGTATCACAGCCTTATCTTTTTTAACTTGACATCCTAACCTCATAGATAGAAAAACATCAGAAACGTTTGAAATATATGAACTTGTTTATATTTGCAGTACATATATATGTATAACAAGCATTCAAGCAAATGTATTCATATATACAGTATATATGGATAAATAGATATTAATCACAAACAAATATATGTATTTATATGCACATATTTTATATGTGTGTCTGTATATAGAACAGCTACTGACTATGTTGAGCTGTAATTTTTGTAGATTTTAGCTGGAGTTTGAAAATTTGCTCTGCTTGGGAAGAATTGCAAATCTGGCAGCTCCCAAAACTGCAGGCATTCCTCTCTCTGATTACCTATATGCTGAAACACAATATATTGCTAAAAGATTCATGTGTGACAAAACACATATGGTGTAAATATTATCTGAAAATGCAAAAAGCCACATCTCAGTAGCAGGCTTTAAGAGAATCAGGCTACATGATTTTAGAGAAAAAGGACAATTATCTTCGACTCTATTCCAAACATATCTTTTGAACTTACACACACATGCACACGCACACGCACACACACAAACTTCTCTTTGAAACTTGAACCAAAATGAATCAGTCTCACAACCCTTGCTCTCTTTTGCATAAAGTGCATGTAGCGTATGGGCTGTCACCATGTCAAGGTGTGCCTTGTCACCTGCAGAATCTGCCATCAAGCACTGTGCTCTCAGAAAACAAAGAAAAAAAACTAAATACACACTTCTGCAAGCAGCCAACGCGCTATTATGATGTCAAAACTACAGCCAGATCATCATATCATTTCTCAGCCATGTAGAGAGTTCAGTGCATGTCCAATAAAACAACCCATCAGACCTCTGCTGGTCCATCAATATCATTAAAAAAAATGCTTTTAGCTATAATGGTCTCATATGGTAACACTTCAAATTACATTTCAGATAAAAGTGGGCATTAGGGTAACCTGGAAGCAGGTACTAACCAATCTGTGTGCAGGGCACCTGTGACTACCGCTTGGAGTTAAAACTGGGGTAAAGTTCAGGGCTGACATGATGTGACTCACTAAGAGGACTTATTGAGCTAACTGGACCTGACATTAGGTTTTAATGGTTATGAAGGAGATGTAATATTGATGAATATGTTATAATGAGAGAGCAGGCTTCCTGTTGAGCTGAATAAGGAAGGTTTTATGTACTTTACAATTCCGCAGTTAATGTGTGAATCTCCACTGGTAATACTTGACATGAAGCATGTCCTCTAGATGTTATATTGCCTTATGTTAAATGTGCTCATACAATTAAATATACACATTAAAGTCAAATGAAACTGTAAAATGAAGCAATAAGTCTGAAAAGCCATTTATCCACTTCTGTGTCACTGAGGCTGCTTTCATATTGCTTTAGCATACAGTTTCTCATAACAGTCTACAAAAAAAGGTATGAACACCTACTATACACCTGCAAAAGGTCAACAGACTTGGATTTATTGGACTCTGCATTTAACACATTTTCAGCTGCTGGAGATTGCACAATGAATATTTATGTATATGAATATTTATGAGGCTATATGACACTTTGGAAGACAATGCTTCCTGTTGGGTGCTGTTACTGGTTTTTCCTATAAACTGCTCATTATGCTGTTTCCCTAGCGTCTGTGTCTAACCTTTTTAGCAGATTGAATAATTTAACATTTACCTTCCAAATCCAGTGAGGCTAAAAGATGCCACGGCACATCCCAGGACACCGCTGCGTGTGTGTGTGTTTTTCACAGTGCCCTGATTATGGCGTACAGTGCAAACCGGATGACCACCATGCTCTGACAGAGTCCGAGGTTGGTTGGTACATCCAGCCTCTAAGCTAACAATACGATCTGAAGATAAATGTCATATGTCTGGTGTCCCTGATTTCTGCACTGTGTGCCCTCTTTTACACCCCAACCCACCATCACCATCACCACGCTCTGAGAAAATTGAAAAAGGTGTCGCCACAGTATGTGCTTTTCTAATGGTTTGTCTGGGCAATCACTCATGTCCTTCACCCGGCCCATGTTTTCATATCGAGTGAACGGAGGGAGGGGAAGCGTTTGGCCACCACGGAACTAGAAAGCACCTCTTTTTTCATCCGCTCCAACTTAAAGCTGCAAGTTTACATGAGAAAAGAAAAACAAAGAAAAGTGGTTCAAAAACAGGAACAAACAGAGCAGAAGTTTGAATATAAATATATATATATAAATATATACATAAACCGATGAATATACTGTAAATGTTTCTTTTTTTGCTCTGTTTTCCTCTGTACATAGGTTTGCATATTTTATAGGACTTTTACTTCTATCTACAAGGACTGGATAAAGTACTTTAAATACTTTAAAAAAAATATATGAATGAAAACATGATAATGCTCAATAAAACCAGGTACAAAAAAAATAGTTGCTAGGATACGGTACAAACTGTAGGACCTGACCAAGGCATTTATCCAGAATACAGTCAGGGAGAGCATTGACCTCAGTTAGAGCTTAGACACACATTGACCTATTTTATAAAAAAAAAAAATACTTTGATGGGTTCTATTCATTTCTCGATTTGTTAGATATTTATTTATAAGTCATGTCTGAGATAATATGCATGCTTTCATGGCATTATTTTTCTATGAGTTGGTACGTGACCAAATAGTTTTTATATGACATGCATGGGCCACTGTTGTGGTCCACAGATGATCATTGTTCCTGTCTGCAGGACCATGCCTTCAGCACTGCTTTGATGATGGAGAAAAAGATTTCTCCTATTGACCAAGTGATATCAAAGACAGTTTTATTTTTATCATTTATTTATCTGTTTATTTATTTATGTTTATGTATTAATTTATTTGTGCTGTTTGATTCAAGATCTGAGCTCAATTATTGCCACTGATCTGTTTGCTTGTGAAGTGCTACTTCTTATCACTGCATCACATGAAGATGGAGGAACTGATTATATCGACTTACAATGACCTGTAGTGCTGATAAACACTTGAAAACAATGCAGTACAAAACTAAAGCCTTATGTATATTTGTAATTATCAATTCAAACCTTTCAGTTCCAAAAAGTTGGATTTATTTTGAGTAACATTTGCCAGCATTCTGAAACCTTGAGACCAAGAGGGGGAATCAATTCACAACTCAAAGAGATGTCTTCATAACAAAACATATAACCTTTAGGTCTTTTTCATTTAACCGCCTGATGAATTGCTGTTCAACAATTAGAAACTCAATCTTAATTATTAAAAACGTTAATCCCTTCTCATATCTTCCTTATGCTGCTTGTTTTCTCAGAGCTCTGATCTTGTTCAACTGATGTGTTCTACCAAGAGCAAGATTCAATGAAAACTGCACTATCTCATCAAAAAGTATTGAATTACTACCATTTTTTTTTTTTTGCTGTTATTAGTGATTTTATTTTTTAAAGATCAGTAGAGTTACTACACTCACATTTTACTTCATATGGTTTTCAAAGTATTCTGGAAATCTATTTCCCAAATTCAGCACATATGGAGGGTGGGGAAATGAATGTTGCATATTAAGCTTTGCCAGGTTCCTGATGAGCTCAGCTTCAGATTGGGCAGCGCGCTTTAGGCTCCCGCCCCTTTCTCTCCAGACTGCACCATTCTCTGGTCCCTGAACTCTTTTTTTGTAATTTTAAATGAATGATGCGTCTCAGCTTAGCCCAATATTAAAGCACAGTCTAGAATAAAGCATTCTGCCTCCTGTCATAATTACTTATATGGTAATGATACGCAACTACCCACAAGCCTTTTTTTAATTATTCCCTCCATTCACCATTGGTGATTATCTGTTTTTTCATTTGTCTTTCATCCACAATTTCCCAAAATATATGAATATATTTATCTGAAAGAAATGTTTGGTGTTGGGTATGAACAAGCTATAATTTACCTTGAGATTTTCTTCTTCTAATCATTCGTTTAACTCATTTGTAAAATCTGACACCTTGTCATTGTTCATTGAGTTTCAGATGAGTTTGCATGAATGCTGCCATCGTTCTCAGAGATGATATTGTAGCTCTGAGGTAAACAACAGAGAAGTTAATCAATTAAAAACTAGACGCAGCACAGATTCTGAATAAATACATGTTTATTTGTATTAAAACCACAAAGTTACAGGAATACAGTAAATAACATCATGATCATGCTCAGTCAGAATGTCAACTGAAAATTAAATAAGAGACCAAAAATAAAGTCAGTGACTGGATTCATCCTGATTCTGGGTCAGCAAATGAAGAAAATATCCTCCAGTATTTGGCTCTCTTCCAGGTCCTGCTGGGCATCCCGAGGATAAGGCCCAACAGAGGTACACAAGTTTCTGTCCGCTGGTTTTGGGGCAGCGGGGGCCAGCCTAAGCTGCATGGTTTTGGGTCTTTGAGTGGACGGCTTATTTAGCTCAGGTGCAGAGACAGGAGTAAAGATATCCAACAACTCAACCACTGAGAATTCCAACCTGGAAAGATAAGTAGAACTTTAGGAGGTTTTCTTTTTCTTTGGTTTACATGAGACCTCAGCATGCATAAAGGCAGTACTGCCATATTTTGTTATATACAACCCAAAGGTGCCCTAAGGATGGTAGGCATTGTGAATGAAAATGATGGTGCTGTTTCATGGTAAACAGAAATGTGCAAGCAGAGATTTAAAGGACACACACAAGGCTAAAGTCCATTTGGAGTCCAATGCTAGTACTTAAGCATTCACCACTCACCTTTCACTTGTTACCACAGACAATAGGAAAGCAAATCTCTCTTTGACGTGTTAACAAAATCTTTCTTGCTGAGGTGTCTACTGAACCCTAACAAGCAGCCTTAACAAGTCAAAGCCACTGGGGCGTCCCGGCAGAAAACAGAGTTTCTTGCAGGTCTTAGAAAAAAAGAGGGAGAGGACCTGATGCTTTCTCCCTTGGAATAGAAATGAGGGAATGTGCAGAGAAATAAATAAACCAAAACGGGGGAGATTAAGCTAATAGAGATTCAATCCCTCAGTCTGGCTGGCTTGATAAATTATTCAGTGTATACACAGCCGAACGACTGCCATTCCAGATACAAAACATGAATTCTTTAAAGCACGCTCCACTGATGTTGCTAACATAATTCTCTGCTCGTTTGAAGCTGCATCGATTTGCATCGCACAGCTCGGCACACAGCCTTCCCAGGTAAGCGTGATCTTTGGCGTGTACTTGTTGATATGCATGCGGGTGGTCAGCAGACAGACAGGATAAACTTCCAATCAGGGCAAATCTGGGTTTCTCCACACGTAACTATAGACCTTGATATGTCATGTTTTCACATAAACTGGAGGCAGAACAGATCAGTAGCTGAAAAGTTTTAAAAAAGGGTTATATTTTACTTTAGGAGCATGATGTAATGTATGCACATGTTTGAGTCTGTGTGTGTTTGTGTGTGTGTGTTGGGGGGTGAATGAGGGTTAAGTCGGCTGAGGAATGTTAAATGTTAACTGAGGGAAAAAAGAAAGTGAGGCTCAAGTAAGTAAATCTGTCTTCCTCATTTGGTCTCCTGCCTGTCAACAGGAAAGGCGGAAGAAAGAGCATCAGCAACTTTGTGTGTGTGTGAGAGAGAGAGAGAGAGAGAGAGAGCGAGAGCGAGAGAGAGAGAGAGAGAGAGACTGGAAGCAAGTGCAGCGCTTTGTGGATGGAAAGGAAGGCAGAGAGGGAATGTGGGGGAGGGACTTTGGCTGGGTTCCTTCTCTCGAAATGTGAGAATTTGCATTTTTATTTGTTGATTTATTTAACGGACAGGGCTCTCAAACAGCCATCCATCAACAAACGACATGTTGGTAATGAATAATGCATCACTTACCAGCGGTCACAATCTATAACAAGGGGAGCGCAGGGGGGTAGGGGTACAGTTTGGGCGGAATGTGGGGGAATGGGAGTGGGTAGAGATTGCACGAGGGCCAGAGAGAATGCCAATAGATTTTCACAGGGGTATACAGTCCAACAAAGAACTTCATTTCTTGGCTCCAGTTTGTGTGAGGTGAAGTTGTGAACTGCTGCTCAATATTAATATCCCCCCGGGGAGTCATGGCAAATCCATTTTACTGAAACATGCATACAGAAAAAAGCTCCGACCACAGTCACAGGAAAACAAGTTTCAGTCATTGTTAAAAAAAGAAAAAAAACTTTAGCTTGGGATGTGGGTCATTTTGACAGCATCTAGAAATGCTGCATTGCCAACATTAAAGGGATACTTTTTATAGGGATACTATTTGCATTAAGCTTTGCATCATTAGAAACCTGGTAGTATTTTTGAATAGTCGTGCATCCTGCCCTCATTTTCCCGAGATGGGAAATCTTTGTATTTCTAAGTCTGAAAAGGAGTTTCCAGTGATGCAAAATTACGTTTTTTGCTGGGATTCGGTGTCTTTCATCAACATGAGCCAAAAAGACACTTTCTGCCTTTTCTCGGCCAAGAAGGCACCAACTTCAAAATGTATTTCACATTTCTACTACGTGTGACCCAATGTCAATACAGATTCATGTTTCAACGGCTGAAGTATCCCTTTAAAGCTCTATTAAAAACTTCAATCTTCTGTGTTTGACAGTAGACCCGAAAGAAGCCTCAGAGACTACAGTGTACTACAGAGAGCTGATTCTGACAGCATACACGATTCTTCAATGAATTAAAGAACTCTCTGTATCTTTCAGCCTGTATGTAAAAATGAAAGAGGTCCTGTGGTGGTTGAGCTCCCTGCTTCCAAATACTTTCCAAGTCTTTTGAACACATATAGAACTGTACTTTCACAGTGTAATAAAAACCTTTGGGCTTCATTTCCCTGTGCACCAATTCTCGTTCAGTAACGCCAGATAAAATTTCCACAAAACTCCTCTGCCTATGCTCCCCATCGCCTTCTTCCCACTCGTAACTTTCACTGCTTATTTGGCTCCTCTCTTTCATTAAAGATAGCCGTCTCGCCCCGGCGCTCCTTTTCATTTGCAGTCCAAACAGTGAGATAAAAAACCTATAATGGCCACTGCGTATATCCCGCATGTCAATTTCCCAACCAATCAATAGCAGGCGGGCAATGGCAGGAAGGATGGAGATGAGCTGGGCGGGGTGCGCTGGAACTGTCTCATTACTAACTAGCACAGGATTCATGAAAGGATTAAGAAGGTCATTTAATGTTAACCCCAGCTTCGCTTTGCAATTTGCACATCAAGATTGAATTGGTTAAGATTAAATGGTCACGAGGGGCATGTTGTTGCTGAGTAAAACAGAGAGGTTCAGGTAACATGCTGAATCTGACAGTAGGTAGATTTGCTTTACCAAAGAAAGCTGCTTTATTTAGTCTCCTACGTCAAACACAATAGCTTTTGTGTATTATTCATTACAAAATGGCAGCAGTTCATTGTCATGGTAGCACTCTACAAGAACATATTTATGGCAATAACACAGCTTGTGGCTAACTTGTATGAGTATTGCTCCATTCCGCACATCATTGCTCACTAAAGTCTAAGTATTTTGGGAAGGTCTTTGATCGCTCTTTTAGACTCTAAATAAGCTTTGGACCACAACACTGAGAACTTCCTTTATCTCCTTTGCATCCATTTATTTAATTAATGTTATCTTACTATTTTCATTAGGTAATTTTAACGTACAGCAGAAGAAAAAATCATTACAACTATCTAAAGATATGCATGTTACAAAAAAACACAAAAGACATTTCTGAGGCAGACTTCCTCATTACTGGTAGTAAAAGAATCCCTGTGTGAAGCTAAGAGTCCAACTATTTTAATAGGCTTTGGAGGTGTAAATGGTTGGTAATAAGATCTGATACCCGGGGTCCACTGCTGGAATTAATGGGCATCTGGTGGAGCTCACAGTTCAACTTGGACCAGGCACTGCTTTGTTTAAGAGTAAAATATCTGAAGTTGTAAACTTTGAGCTATAAAGCTGTCTTACAGGTACTGCAGGCAGTCACAAAATGAATTCTGACATCATGTAAGAAAGAAATTGATTAACTTTAGAGGAAAATTACATATAAAAAGATCTTCTGTCACGCTGTTATTGGTAGCTTTTTGTCAGTCTCTGAAACTTTTTGAAATTCCACTAAAAAAAAAGCCCTTAAACAGAGGCAGGCAAAAGCCCACCTGCTCATGAAAAAATGCAGCAAACGCTAAGACGTCACACTGCCAGGTTAATTACCATTCCATGTAAGTTTGGAAGAAAAAAAGGTAATGAATGTCCTTTCCTTTTTAGGAAAGTCTGATGCTTGCACTCAGTGATTCATTCCTGTCCTCAAAATCTCTCTCGCTTCTTACGTCTTTCTCACCATTTCCATTTCCATCCATCTCAACCTGTTTTAACTTTCCTCTTTTCCCATTTCTCACTTTATCCGATTCTCTCACCCCTCACTCACCCTCAGACACACTTTTAACATCTCTGCCTCACTCTCGCTTTCTCTGTCTCATTACTGTGGCAGAGAGAGAGAGAGAAGGGAGCACAGTGTGCATCCAGAAGTCTGTTCAATTACACCTGCTGCAGGGTCCCTGCTAGGCCGACTAATGGAACGCAGCATGTCTCCTGACAGGCCGGCCACAGCGCTACCTAGCCCAGTAAAAAGCTTCATTTAGCTTCTCACAGCTCGAAAAAGTTAGCTTGACTATGAAAGGACATAATTTAGACTCTAACACTGCAGAAAACACAATCCTAGCATGAGCTTCATTTCTAAAA